GGGGGGGGGGGGGGGGGGCGTGTCGCTGGCTTTGTGAGGGTGGCTGGGGAGGGGTAGCTCGCATCTATAGCACAAGCTGCTAGGAAGGTCGTCATCCAGCAACCTGGTTTTTGTGAAGTTTTAAGTGAAAATACTTTGATTTCGCAGTAAAACTCAGTCTTATTACGTGCAGATTAAAAAAAAAAAAAAACTGAAACTTCATTGGTGATTCCGTCACGCTGACTAAAACAGTACTCATTACGTATTCTTGGCAGTTTCTCTTTGCAGATCTATTCCTTGTATACTTGATTTTTGTGAGTTATTTGTGACCTGTTTTTTGCAGGGCTTTGTGATCCTTGTTCTTGGAGAGTGATGTAATCATCTCTTGGTTTGATGCCATTTCTGTGGCACTGAGGTCGGCTCACACCAAGTGAAACAACCTTGTGTGGTCATGTGTGAATCCAGAGTTATTCCTCATGCACATTTGCCCAGTGTGATATTTATTTATTTCTTTATTTTACCGCTGCAGACTGACTTGTTGAAGAGGGTTAGTTGGGGGAGGTGGTGTGGTTGGGTGACTGCTGTCCAGAAAATGGACATTTGAAATGAAGGAATGGTGGGTGCAGATATGGAATCATCACACTGAGCATTTAAAATGAATTTCCATTCTGGTACCCTGCAGGTACTGATGCCTCCATCGCTCAATCTTTTAAAATGCGTAATCTAGAGCAGGTTTGAGGTTCTCTGTCCTTTTGGTTCTACTTGCACCATTTTTGCAGTGCTTTGTCTGTTGGGGGGGGGGCATGATGGTCTTCTGCCAGTGACCAGCCTGTGAACCATGTTGAGGTGCTGTAAAGTCCATTTGTACTTTACTGCTCTTGGTCCGTTTTCGGCTAAGCGGTGCACTCTCCATGAAACAGCTTTGCGTGAGCAGGTCGGCTGATCCCAGCACTAATGCAGTGTGTGGGGTATCTCTGGTACCGTGTGATCTGGTGCTCGTGTGTACCAGCCCAGCGCAAGGGCGACCGTCGTGTGTGTGTGTGTGTATGTGTCTCTGCACTGTGATTCATCCTGCCTCTTCCATCCTCTGAGTTGAAGGCATATCGTTTGGCCCCCCTGATGAATCTTGACCCTCTCTTGAAGTGTAATGCCAGAACCGGCCCTCATGGGCCCCGCGGCTCCTGCAGGATGGCACCAGCTTGCCCTCCCCTCAGTCACACTGTGGGGTCTGTGCCAAGGGCCAGCCTGTTCAGGCGGTAGCTCTTAAAGGTGAAACTCGGACTGAGCTGCTGCCTCATATCTCTGCCACCGATAGTCCAAAAGCTTTAGGTCAAGCCTAGCTTGCCAAGCAGTTTTCTCTGTAGTATCAGTGAAGTAAGTAAATGTGATGCTTCTTGCATGATTTGGAAGTCTGCCTGTTTACCGTCCCTAGTCTTTTTGTCTGAGCCTGTCGTCTCTGAAACCGTACAGTATTGTGGCATAATTCCTGTCAGCTCATTTGGTGTTTCTGAAGCGTAGGCAAGGTTTTTTACAGTCTTGCTGTCTCTCTGGTTTAACAGTCCCTAGTTATGGAAAGAGAACCTGACTCAAGTCGGGTTTTAAAGAAATTAATGATAATCATTCATTCCAAATAAGTAAATGGTGTAAACCTTTGCATAAGCAGTTGAGTAGCCCACAATTGAACTGCAGTCTAGCAGTTAATGCCATGATAACTGTCAGTTCACTAAACTGGTATGCTGCTTATCCCTTAACCTCCAGCTTGTTAGCAAACCCTGCCAGTGCAGAAGGGCCCCCACACAGGAAGTGCCCCGAGGGAAGGCTGCTCTGTGCTCACTCCTGTTCTTTTTGCAGGGGCCTTACCTTGGGGCAGGTGGCTGAGGGGCTGAGCGCCGCCTTAATGCGAGGTGAGGAGCGCCTGTGCTGAACCCACTGTGCTGTACAGATGTGCAGCGTCTCATTCCGTTTACCTGTAAAAATCTGGGCGAATGCAGGTGGTGACATATCAGTAGCAGGTCACACTGGCATCCGTGAGACCATAATTGCTTGTTTTCTTTTTCCCTCTCCAGGTGTAGCGTTTTGAGCACGTTGACATCCAGGTCTGGCTGAGCCACTGGACATCGTATATCGCTCCATTGAGTCTAGGCGATGGATCGACAGGCCAAGGTTTGTTGGCCATGGGGGTGTGACAGATGGACAATGATTGTATTATTGGATATTACGATAGATTTTGCTGAGTGGCAGAAATGGATCAGTCTGTAGAGGGATGGTGGGACTTTGGAGCACTCTGACAGGGACCATTGCCTTTGCTTGACTGTTTTTGGCTTGAAATTTGCAGTGATTACGTAATGTTTTTCCAGGTTCTATAGCCTTTGGTCAAGAGGAGGAACTACAGGCACCTTTGGTATGCTGGGAACTTCTGAGGAGGAATTCAGTACATTTTTCAAATAAATTGATTTCATAACTAAACTGTCTTGGTTTGTGTGTTTGGGCTGTTCTGGGTAGTCCTTACAAAAAATCTGTCTGACATCTTGTTTAAGGTGACATTTGTGTTTGCATGTTGAGTGACGTCTAGAAGTTTGACTTGTTTCTCAGTTCTAGAATCAGAAATCCCCTAGTGGTCCATTTTATGTTGTCTGTGAGTTGGGTCAAAATGGCTGGGTAAGTTTACTGAATAGGTGTCAGGGAGGGAATGGAACGTTGACATGCACTAGAACTTGGGCAGAGAGGATGAAGGATTTGGCTGTAAAATGACTTAATGTGCGTCCTGCGCTAATGGGATACGTGTTGCCAAGGAGGGAATGTGTATCCCGCTCTGTCCAATCAAAAGGTCAGCTTTCATGGCGTGTGCTGCCACTGTAGTTCACCCAGAGGGCTGTGAGCCGATCTGTTCATCATTAAAAAAAACATGAGGCTGTTTCCAGCTCCTTGTCTGCGGTCCAGTGAGCTTGGCGAGAGCTGTCACCAGGAACGAGAGACTGCCAAGAAGTGGAAGCCAGCTGAACGTCTCTGTTATGTTTGTCCCAGGAGACGTGAGCAAATGAGGCCACTGTGGCTTCCTCCAGCTCGCTGTCCCCTTGGAAGACCTGGGTTGCAGTTTGGAGGACAATCCTCCATCTCTAACATTCTGACACAATAACAGTTCTGTAAGAGGGAACAGGAAGGGGCCACAATACAAGCAGCAAGAGCTGCGGAACAATGAATAACTGCATTAGAGCCGTACTGAAGTAACACGTGTTGAATTGCTCTCTCCATGACATAAAAGTATTAACCGGCACCACTGATACTGTCTGAACATGATGTGAGGAGAGCTCTGAGGGCAACCAACTGCAGGAAGGCAGCGGGACCAGATGGCATACCGGGACGTGTGCTAAGAGTATGTGCAGATCAGCTGACCACGGTATTCACCAGCATCTTCAATGCCGCCTCAGCCCAGCAGGTAGTCCCCACCTGCTTTAAAACATCAGTGATTGTTCCAATCCCGAAGAACCCCCGCCCAGCCAGCCTCAATGATTATCGCCCAGTAGCCCTGACATCTATAGTGATGAAGTGCTTCGAGAGGCTCATGAAACCCTTCATCAGCTGCTTCCTTCCCTCCAACTTTGATTCGTTGCAGTTTGCATACCGAACAAACAGATCCACCGGAGACACTGTTGCACAGGTCCTGCACACCACATTGAGCCATCTTGATGAGGGGTGTGGTAACTATGTGAGAATGCTGTTCATAGACTACAGCTCAGCATTCAACACCATAGTCTCCCACACCCTCTCAGAAAAGCTCCAGGACTTGGGTTTCAGTACGTCCTTGTGCAGGTGGATACACAGCTTCCTGACCGCAAGACCACAGTCAGTGAGAATAGGGGATGTGTACTCCCATACACTCACACTGAACATAGGGGCCCCCCAGGGATGTGTGCTGAGCCCCCTTCTCTACTCCCTCTACACCGCGGACTGCAAGGCCAGGCACCCCACTAACTCCATTGTGAAGTTTGCTGACGACACAGTGGTGGTAGGACTCATCTCCAGGAATGACGAGAGGGCCTACCGGTGTGAGGTGGACGGTCTAGCAAAGTGGTGTAAGGCAAATCACCTCTCCATGAACATCAGTAAAACAAAGGAGATGGTGATTGACTTCAGGAGACAGAGAGATGAGCAAACTCACACCCACCTCCAGATCAACGGAACCCCTGTGGAGAGAGTCTCCCACTTCAAATACCTCGGCGTCCGCATTACTGAGGACCTCACCTGGAATACACACCGGACTTCCTCATCAGCAAAGGCAGACAGCGCCTCTAT